GCGGGGCGGTGTTGTTTACACTCGGAAGCATGGTAAGGAGGAATCTATACAATCTAGGACTGATTAAGTCATGTTCGTGAGCGAGCTCGAGATCGACTTGATACTAGAAAAGAGTAGCGAGATTGGTTTTACTTTATGAGAAAGATTCTTTGCTTATAATATGATTTGGTGTATATAAAGAATACAAAGAAAAGGTGGGATTTGGTGTTATACATTAATATATGGGTTTGTTTGAAAGATAGTTTTTTTAGCGTATAGTTCATGATGTAAATATCAAATTTTATATTAATGTAATGAAAAATATTGGATTTATTAATTTTTAAAGGCTTTACTTAATTTTTTAAAATACTCCTATAAATAAATTATTTTATAAATAGAGATGTTCGGGATGGAGAAGCTTTCCCCATTTTGGATCCAAGATAAGTTAACGTTGATTCGGTTTTGAAAAAATGTGCATTTATTTAAATATTACAATTAGAGTATTAAGTTAATTAATTTATTTTTTTAATATAGACAAATGTCCTGTTATATATTTAGTATGAGTTGAAGGTGGGGAATTGAGCTGTGATATGGATTATAGTCATGAGGTGTATGTGGAGACAGAGACTTGGCATATAATGGGGCGATGAATTGAGTTGTGACAGGGATTATAATCACGAGGTGTGTGGAGACAGAGACATGGAATATAATCTTTCATGAAGCCCCATTTATCTAATTGGGTTCGTAACTTTTGTAACGTGGTTGGCTTGTATTCGTCTTTTCTATTTGTGTACCGAAACAAATATTCCTCACTACTCCATAGACAGAAACAGAGAATATAATCTTTTCTATCTGTGGACGGAAACAAATGTTCTTTACTCCTCAATAGACAAAACAAGTGAATATAATCTTTTCTATCTGTGAACAGAAACAAATGTTTTTCACTCCTGACAGAAACAAGGAATATAATCTTTTATATTTTATGGACATAAATAAATGTTGTTCACTCTCAAATAGACCGAAACAGTGAATATAATTTTTTTTTTAATTTGTGGACAGAAACATGGAATATAATCTTTTCTACTACTCCATTTATCCAACAAAAAAATAAAAATGTTCGTCACTCACATGGAATATAATCTTTTCTCCGATCCCATTTTTTTAATAGAAAAAATGTTCCTCACTCCTCCAGACAAAAACAATGAATATAATCCTGTTCCCGACTCATTTATGTAATATAAAAAATGTTCCCATCTAAATTAAAAAATCACTTTAGTTAGAAATAACATCTTCATTTATAAGTTTGATTTTTAAAAACTAAATAATTATTAAAAAGATGTGTTCCAAACATTTTTTGTTTTTGTTTTTTTACTTTTTAAAAATTGAGTTGAATATTAAAAACATTGGTAAAAGACCGATAATAAAACAAAGAAATTCATAATTATAAACTTAATTCTCATAAATACAAAATAAAAATAAATAAATAGTTATCCAATGGGATCGTAATAATTCTATAGTTGTTTAATCGTTTTTGAACTTTATCATCTTTTAAATATGGTATCTAAAGTAATAAAACAAAACATACTTAAAAATAATAATAATAATAATAATAATATTCAAAGATATTAAATTCGATTAATCAACAATTAAATATTTTTTTTTCTTTTTGTTAATTTCTTAACTCAAAACTAAAATATATATATGAAACGAACTAAATTATATATAATTTATTTAGGCGTGACAGAAATTGGTCAAAGAAATAATATTAAATAAACTTTATTATATATTATTATCATCATCTTTAAACAAAAAGACACAATAAACTTTATTATATATTATTATTATCATAAATAAAAAGACACAAAAACAGGCCGCTGATTGGATTTACAGATTTTAGGTTGTTGTCGTAATTCTAATTTTAATTTTATTATTATTATTATTATATTTTTGTTTGGTCTATAAATTTTCGACTTATTTTATTTAACTATATGATCTAGATTTATTATATACTCTGTTGTTTATCTATAATCATTTTTAAATGGTCTTTATGAAAAAATTAATTATATTGGATTTTTCAATTAGATACATATTATTTATAATATATTTATTAATAAATAAAATTAAACCAAAATGTAAACAGTTGAAATTATTTTAATAATTGGACTTAACACCATTAATTATCTAAAATTAATGGTCGAAAATATTAAATAAAGAAATTCTCATATTTTTTATACAACTAATTTAAAGTATGTTTTTTTTACTATATTTTGAATAATTTTTTTTATTGCAATATATTAATTAGTCATTTTTTTAATAATATATTTCTCCAACAAAAAATGAAAATAGTTTTTAAACTAATGTGTACTTTTTTTATTATTTATTGAGATTATTTTTACCCATTATTCCAACCGAAAAAAGCTGACTTTTAAATAAATAAATAAAAATAATGACTAGACCATTAGAAATTTATTAAAAAACTAATAAAAATAATTACTCAATCTTTGAAATATGAAAATTCTAAATTAATTTAAATATGAAAACAATATATCCAAGCTGTGAAATAATGTTAAATTTTATTAAATTCTAAATCAAATATTATTATTTAAATGATATCTGAAATGACAATTATTATTATTTATTATTATTTCGTCCATTGAACTTACAAGATAATGTAATGTCTTGACAATGTAATGTCAACTCTACTGGTTGACTTTTAATTTTTCAACCCCTATTTTATTTTAGTAAATATAATAAAATAAGAGATTTTAATGACTACGATAAAAGATATAATTCATGCACAACTCATTTGCACAACCATTTATCTGTTCGGGTCAAGTAGGCAAATTTATCTCTCAGCGATTTTTTCTCTACTAATAATCTCAACCGAGGTTTGTTCATGGAATAACCTTCAATCCGATCTGCCTCTAGCTCTATAATCCACCCCTCTTTCCTAGTCCCATCAAGCTCTTCAGTCTAATCCTCTTTTTCAACTCGAGTATAAAGTTCAACCTTTCGTTATTGATGAATTAAGTGTTGTTAAACGTAGAAATAAGGCAAGTCTTGAAGATAGATCGAGAGGAAATCATTGACATGTCTAAATAATATTAGGTTCTAAATTCAATCATTACCGTTGTACTATGATAAATGAATATAAGAAAAAACTGTAACAGCCAAAACCCATCGTTAACAGATACTGTCTACCTTGACCCGTATTGCCATCAACCTCAGAGTTTTAAAACGCGTTTATAAAGAGAGGTTTCCATACCCTTACACAATCCACCCCATTGGGGCCCAACGTCCTTGTTGACACCGCCCAATATCTAACTCTGATACTATTTGTAATAGTCCAAGCTCATCGCTAGAAAATACTGTCTGTGCCGTCAGCCTTACACTTTTAAAATGAGTCTCTAAAGAGAGATTTTCCCATTCTTGTAAAGAACGTTTCGTTATCCTCTCCAACCAAGATGGAATCTCACAAAAGCGATATAATATATATTATTGTTGATTAATATAATTCGTGACACGAACATATTCATAGAGCTATATGATAAACACGAAGATTGAAAGTGAAAATCAATGATAAAAAAGAATAAAATAAAGTTAAGATTCTTATTAATTTTTTTTTTTTTTTTTTTTTAACATGGAAGATGTGATATGATATATAAAACTTAGTGGATAATTTGGAATATATTCTTTCCTTAGTATTTGGAAAAATGCAATGAAGAATTAGGATATAATATAAGACATTAAATTCTTGTTTCAAGCATTTATTCATATGCTTTTTGCAATCGAATTTTGAATCTAATCAACCTCTAATAAAGCATATTACTAATATATTTTAATTATCATTAAATTTATTAAAATAATATTGTTATCACAACTGCTCGATATTGCTATCAATTATCTATACAAAATTTAATTTTAATTTTATTTAATTTCAAATTTATTTACATTTACCCGTCTCAAGATTACCCGAGAAATGTATTATTAGATAAAAATATGCATACAACCCAATAATCCAAATTTAAACCATAAAAGTTGAGTTATGTTGATTTTTTGAAAATTCAAAAATTCGATTTTGTTTGCATGTTGACATTGCTTTGGTCGGGTTACAACCCAACCCGACCCTAATTTAAAATTTATGATGGATGTTAGTGTTGTGTCATGACTTGTAAATGTTTGATATTTGAATTTTACGAGATTTTAGTTATCAATGCAACAAGTATAATTTAACCCGACAACCTAACCAAATCCAACTATAGATGTTGGGTTGAGTTAGGTTGTGAACTTTATTTGAGTTAGGTCCGAAAGATTTTTCCAACCCAACCCTAAACTCGTGCACCCCGATTGCTAAAGTAGCTCTTTAATTGTCATTAGCTCTCTCCCGTAAAGTCTAAGATTTGATCCCTCATCCTTGTTCCACTGTTTGAACACATTGACTAAAAACGGTGAGTAAATGATTAAAATATTCGTCAATACAATCGATACATTTGTAAATCATTCAATCTAGAGGTATTCGCCACAAACGGGACGACGAGAAATAAGAGAGAGAGAGTGGGCAAAGATTTCTCTATGTTATCCAAGAGGGAGTTGGAGACAGAGATTATATTCTTTTGTTTCCGTTACCGTCCTCGACACCAATCTCGACCTCGCCCCACCTCACTATATACATACATACATGTACTTATATATATATATATATATATATATATATATATATATATTCATTAAATAATTAATCGAAGTGAATATTTTTTAAAAATATATATTAAATAGTGGAAAAAAATTATCTTCTAATTTTTGCAAAAATAAATGAAAATTTTGGAAAGAACGAGAATTGAAATAGGAGACGAGGATGTTGGAGAAGACTTACTCATTGAACGTTTTTATCCGACATTAATATATATTATATAGATATAGTTTATAAAAATATATACCCACCTTAATATTTAATCATAGATTTGATCAAGTTGTCTTAAATTAATCCATAAATAATTAGAAATGCTTTATGTTTGTTTGAATCGGTCCTTAATCTGTGGTTCGCTAAATTACTTTGAATTGAAGAAGAAAATAATGAGCGTTGACGAACACGACGGTCTCGGAGGCGTCGCTGCTCATGGTCTTCACTCAGAGTATGGGGACTTCCTCCTCCGCAACAATGGCGACAAGGTACTCCAATCGATTATTCGATTGATTATTGATCCACATGTTTTCGCGCGTTTTTCATTTTGGATTTCTTGCACTCTCAATTGCGCCGATTCTAGCCTCTTCTGCTCTTACTCTTGTTCTTTAGAACTAGTCATTTAAACAGATTTTGCTAAATTTTTAGTTAGAAAAAGTATCAGGACTGGAACTGGAACCCTCTGTCAATTTTCCTCTTGTTTAATGTATGTTTTTTCTGCAAAAAAAGTCGATTAGAAACTTGTTCGTAGTAGACGTATTTTAAAAATCTTGAGGGGAAGTATAGAAGGGAATGTCCAAGGAGGACAATATTTTCTAGCGGTGAGCTTGGGCTGTTACAAATGGTATTAGAGCCAAGTTACCGGATGGTGCAAGACACTGGTTGGAGTAGGGCTAGACCCTCTCCATAGTAGACACATTTTAAAACTGTGAGGCTGACGACGATATGTAACAGGTTAAAGCGGACATATCTGCTAGCCATGGGAGGCTATTACAAATGGTATTAGAGCTGGACACTGGACGGTGTGCCAGCGAGGACGCTGGCCCTCAATGGGGTGGATTGTGAGATCCCACATCGGTTGGAGAGAGGAACGAAACATTCCTGATAAAGGAAAACCTCTCCCTATGAGGGGAAACCCATCCGTTGGAGAGGTTCCCCTTATAAGGAATGTTACGTTCCCCTCTCCCTAGCATACGCATTTTAAAACCTTGAGGGGAAGCCTAGAAGGGAAAGTCGAAAGAGGACAATATCTACTAGCGGAGGGCTTGAGTTGTTACAAATAGTATCAGAGCCAAGTTACTAGACGGTGCGAGACACTGATCGGAGTAGGGCTAGACCCTCTCCATAGTAGGTGCATTTTAAAACCATGAGGCTGACGACGATACGTAACGGGTTAAAACGGACAATATCTGCTAGCCGTGTGTTGAGGATTGCGGATTGTTGGGAGGGAGTTCCACATTGGCTAATTTAGAGGATGATCATGGGTGGTATGAGGCCTTTTGAGAAGCCGAAAGCAAAGCCATGAGAGCTTATGCTCAAAGTGAATAGTATCATACTATTATGGAGAGTCGTGATTCCTAACACCATGGTCTCAAGCTGTTACAAATGGTATCAGAGCCATGAACGGTGTGCCAGCGAGAATGCTGGCTCTCAAGGGGGCGGATTGTGAGATTCCACATCAATTGGAGAGGAGAACGAAGCATTCCTTATAAGGGGAAACCTCTCCCTAACACACGCGGAGAGGTTCGGGTGTTTAATATAACAAAAATGGTTTGAATAGTCAAATACTAGCTTAATCTTGAACCCTGCAGGTCAATATTGAGATGCTAAAGGGGAAGAATCTGGGGTTATATTTTTCAGCAGCATGGTGTGGCCCATGCCAAAGGTTCACCCCTTCTTTGGTTGAAGCATACAACGAGCTATCTTCTAAAGGCAATTTTGAGATCATTTTCGTGTCAGCTGATGATGATGAGAAGTCTTTCAATGAGTATTTCTCTAAGATGCCATGGCTTGCTATCCCATTTTCTGATTCAGAGAGAAGGGATCGCTTGGATAGCTTGTTCCAAGTGAGTGGCATACCCCATCTCATAATCCTTGATAGCAATGGGGAACTCTCTACTGATAGCGGAGTCGACTTCGTACGAGAATACGGAGCCGAGGCATATCCTTTTACCCCAGATCGAATCGCTCAATTGGTGAGCCAAGAGGCCGTGGCTAGAAGGGAACAGTCCTTGAGATCCATCATGGTCTCTTCTTCACGTGATTTTGTAATATCATCCAAGGAAGAGAAAGTGAGTTCCAATGATTTTGCTCATCATTACTCTTACAAACTCGTTTTAACTTGTTTCTTACTTGCAAGGTACCTGTCGCTGAGCTTGAAGGGAAGGTAGTGGGTCTGTACTTTTCAATATTTTCATATGAACGATGTATGGCTTTTACACCAAAGCTTGTGGATGCTTATGAGAAACTGAAAGCAAAAGGGGAGAGATTTGAAATTGTGCTGATATCCCTTGATCAAGATGAAGAATTGTTTAAAGAAGGTTTAAGAAATGTTCCTTGGCTTGCATTACCTTTCATAGATAAGAGATGTGATAAGCTGGTTCGATATTTCGAGATTTCGACGCTACCGACCTTGGTTATGATTGGACGAGATGGAAGAACTCTTCAGTCCAATGTTGTTAATGTTGTCGAAGAACACGGTTTTCTGGCATATCCTTTCACCAAGGAAAGGTTTGCTGAGCTTGCAAAGCTTGAAAAGGAAAAAGAGGAAGCTCAAACGTTGGAGTCGGTCTTGGTTTCGGGGGATCGTGATTTTGTCATCGACAACAATGGAACCAAGGTTCGAGTTTTATTTTAAATTCAATTTGGTTTTCATTTAGATAAAGTAAACACTTTGATTATAATGATTGGCTACCACTCGTGGATGTAGGCGAATTTCTTCTCTTCAAACCATGTAAATTTTTGTGCCTTTTTGTTTAATTTTTGTTTGTGGGTGTGTGAGTGCGATCGATCTTGCTTCTGCTTCTGCTATAGCAATTGGGTATCAAAACATTTTGGTTGTAGTATACCGTTACAAGAACTGGGTATCAAAGCATTTTTGGTTATAGGTGTGATATCCCACATTAGTTGGGGAGGAGAACGAAACACCCTTTATAAAGGTGTGGAAACCTCTCCCTAGTAGATGCGTTTTAAAAACCTTGAGGGGAAGCCCGAAAGGAAAATCCCAAAGAGGACAATTTCGGCTAGCGGTGGGCCTGGACCGTTATAAATGGTATCAGAGCCAGACACTAGGCGATGTGCTAGCGAGGAGGCTGTTCCCCGAAGGGGGTAGACACGAGGCAGTGTGCCAGTAAAGACGCTGGGCTCCTAAGGGGGGGGGGGGTTCCCACGTCAATTGGAGAAAGGAACAAGTGTCAGCGAGGATGCTGGGTCTTGAAGGGGGTGGAGGGTGGATTGTGATATCTCACATTGATTAGGGAGGAGAATGAAATACCCTCTATAAGGGTGTGGAAACCTCTCCCTAGTAGACACGTTTTAAAAACCTTGAGGGGAAGCCCAAAGAGAACAATATCTGCTAGCGGTGAGCCTACGTCATTACAATAGGTGCATAAATAACTAAATTGTTTGATTCTTCAGGTACCGGTGTCAAGTCTGGTGGGGAAGAACATCCTCATCTACTTCTCAGCAGATTGGTGCCCACCATGTCATGCATTTCTGCCAAAACTCATTGAAACATATCACAATATTAAGAAGAAGAATGGTAATCTGGAAGTGATCTTCATCTCGTGCGACAAGGACGAAGTATCGTTCGAAAAACTATTATCTCGAATGCCGTGGTTAGCCATTCCCTTTGGTGACCAAAGGAAAGCATTGATAAGGCGTAAATTCAAGGTCCAAATGGAAAGTATCCCAGTGCTTATATGTATCGGAGCGGATGGGCGCACGGTTACGAATGATGCTACACAACTCGTTTCAATTTATGGCGCTAAGGCTTATCCTTTCAGTACCGGTCGAGCTGAAGAGTTGAAGTCGGAAACTGAGTTGATGACAAGGAATTTGCCTCAGAATGTTAAGCATGTACTCCATGAAGGACATCTTCTTTCGCTTACGCCTCGAAAAGGATACGTGTGCGACGGATGTGAAAAGGAAGGACGTGTATGGTCGTATTGTTGCAAGAGGTGCGATTTCGATCTCCATCCCGAGTGTGCTTTGGAAAGGAATCCAGAATACCAGATGGATAAATGGAGAATTTGTGGTTGAAGGTAACTACTTCGTTCATCATATTGATATTTAAAATGGTCGTCTCACTTTTCTTACCAATCTTGTGTGCATTTCTGTTCCTTTCTCATATCTGTAGCTGTTTATGTTTATCTTCTCACTCGTTGTGAATGCTTATTTGAGATCTCAACAAGTTCTATGTATGATGCCTCGGGTATTCTATGTTGAGTCATTGCTAGTCCGCTTTAGCTCGTTACGTATTGCTGTTATCCTCACGTTTTAAAACGTGTTTACTAGGGAGAGGTTTTTACACCCTAAGAAATGCTTTGTTTCTCTTTCCCGAGCTCAGGACTCAATGTCTTGCTTGCACATCGCTCGGTGTCTGGCTCTGGTATCATTTGTAACAGCCCAAGTCTATCGCTAGTAGATATCATCAGCTTTGACTCATTATGCATCGCTGTTAACTTCATGTTTTAAAACGTGTCTATTTGGGAGAGGTTTTCACACCCTAAAAAAATGCTTCGTTTCTCTCTCTCACTGATGTTGCTTTCATTGTACACCATTGACGATGGTGTAAGACTTGTTCTCCTCGATTGATTTCAGGTGTAATTTGATGACAGTATCGGCGTAGGAACATATTTCTTGATTTCATGGTTGCAAAAGTCCTTAATATTTGACGTTGGTACGATCGCTTACATTTCTTGATTTCTGAGCTTGATTATTGATAAGACAACTTCAACCTTGTTTATGTTTGTAGATTATAGTTGATAAATAACCGTACGTATGTGTTCTTTGAATTGAAATTAGCTCCCTCCATTAATCAATCAAATATTTTGAATTTTTTTTGAAATAAGAGCATGATTCCAGACTAAAAACATAACCACGAGAAAGATGTGCAGCAGAATAGGTATGCCCGGTGTGTAGAAGATTCATTGAGACTTTCATCTCAGTAGGGAATTGTACGATTTTCCCCCTAATTGTATTGAATCAAAATAAAAAATAAAATAGAGGCCAGTGCTATGGTCGTAGCTTGTTGGGCTAAGTGTTTGCCCACTTTAGAGCCTTCGCCTTTAGATAACAAAAAAAGGTGTCCGTCCCTCTACTAAACTACGACAAGAGTTTCGCCTGTTAGCTGTGCAACTAGGGCGACTAGAGCTTTCCTCTGTACTCATAGTGCTCGGCCCATCTCTACTTTAATTCAAAAAGTCAAATTTAATAAAGTTATATAAATTTTTACTCATTAACATTATAATCAAATTAAATATTTAATTATACATGTTATATTTAAAAAATCAAATTAGCATTTGTTTTTTATTTCTCCAAAATTTGATAGTAAAGTAATTTTTTTTTATAAAAAAATGAAAACAATTTAAAAAGAATTATAAAAAAAAAAAGTGAAACAATATGAAATATAAAAAATAAAGGAATAACAAAAAAAAAGAAAAAAGAAAAAAAGAAAAATCGTACTAAAAAAACAACAAAAGCAACCAATAAATAAAAAATAAAGGAAAAAGAAGAATAAAAATGGAAAAAAAGTTTGAGAAAAATAAGGAAGATGAAGGAGAAATAATTTAAAAAGAAAACAAATTATTTAAAATTTATTAAAAAACAAATTATCTAAATTTGATTAAAACAAAACATTTAAATTTTATTAAATAAAAATCGATATACTAAAAAGAAATAAAAGAAAGAGAAGCATAAACCCTTCCACCTTCATCTTCACGCCGGCTTCCCCTTTCAGCAGCCCAGTGTCTCTCGCTGCCTCTCTCCCGTTCAGCGTTGCCCGCCGCCGTCTCTCTTCCGGTCGTGTTGCCGCATACTACGTCCTACCAGGTTACACTGATTTTCTACTCTTTTGTTTATTGTTACTGCTATTCTCCCAATCTTCATCTATGTCTTTCTTCGCCCTTGAAAAACTCAAATTAGAATGGTCTTGAAAGAATGGAGGAATTGTTTTGATTTTTTTTATTGTTTTTTTTTTTTTTTTTAAATAACAATAGCAGAATAGCAACGAAAAAGATATCAGTTGTGGCAAATTTGGACTTCTCGAACTGTCGTGTGCTACCCTCTGCATTTTGCTTACTTGCCATATGTTTGTCTTTGATCATCTGTCTGTATATCTCGTTGGTTTTGGGCTGAAAATTGGCTTTAGGAGACAATAAAATCTTCATTCAATAGAGGCATAACAAAACACGAAGCAGGCAAAGGGGCAAATAGTCTGTTACCCAACAAAATTACCAGTAGATCTATCTAAATTAATGAGGTAGGTGGAGTAATTACAGAAAACGTGTAGTATGTACGCCCATGGGAGGCAATAGTCCGTACAATATCACAATAAAATTAAAAGAAAGTTGTATGTATCTAAGAATATTCTAGCATTTCTTTCCTTTCATAAAAGCCACAAAATAGCTGTTGAAACATTTGACCTCAAAGAAACTGTATGCCCGCACTGTTGCAGACTTTCATCCTATAAGTCTTAGACTGGACCATATAAAATCATAGTAAGGGTATTATCAGTGTCTTAAAAAGGTACCCCCTTTCACAGTTACCGAGCAACATACAACTTTTGTAGAGGGGCGACAAATTCTCGATGCATCCCTCATGACAAATGAACTCATAGATGAATGGGAAAGAAAGAAACAAAAAGGCGTGGTCATCAAACTTGACTTGGAAAAGGTCTTCGACAAGGTTGATTGGACTTTCTTTGAAAACATTCTTGTAGCAAAAGGATTTGACTCAAAATGGCGGAGGTGGATAAAAGGATGCAGCTCATCCACAATCTTCTCCATCATCAATGGAAGACCAAGAGGGAAGATTTATGCCACAAGGGGTCTTTGACAAGGGGATCCACTATCAGAATACTAAGGCCAGATAAAAGGTTTTCAGATTGGTAATGATGGCTTAAGTATGAACCACCTTTAGTTCGTGGATGATACAATCCCCTTTCATGACTTGGTAGAGGTCTCTTCCATAAAAACACGATCGAGATAGTAAAAACCTTCGAAGGTTTCTCTAGACAAAATATCAATGTCCAAAAAATAGAGATTATGTGCATCCTAGCATATATGGTTGTAAGAAGAGAGAATGGTTGAATATGTACCTAGAATTCCCCTTAAAAGGAAACCACAACATTTTTTCTTCTGGAAGACTATTATTGAAAAAATAGAAAGAAGTCTGTCAACATGGTTATCATGTTATACTTCAAAAGGTAGAAAACTCAACCTAATACAAGTCACATTATCCAACCTCCCCACTTACTACAAGTCTATTCGAAATGCTATAAAAAGTGGCATTGGATATAGAAAGATTATTCAGGACTATTTGTGGAAGGATGACCCATACCTTGGTCGATTGAATATTATAAACCTCCCAACAGAAAAGGGAGTCTTCGGTCTTTTCTAGATGAAGAAGAAGAAAAAAGCTCTCCTCGCAAAATAGATATAGAAATATCATCACGAAGAAAATGCCTTATGGAGAAATCTTATAAAGGTTAAATATACTCCTACATCTGACAAGAATCAACCCCCCATCATTTGCAAAAGGGCCTTGGAAGTACATAAAGAAACATCAAAACCTCATCGCCAACCGAATTTGACATAGGGTGGGTGATGGAGGAAGCACTTCATTTTGGACCGACCCATGGATTCAAAACACCACGCTAGCTCTACAGTATCCACTTTTGTACAGAGTCTCTCATAATAAAAAAGCCACGATCAATGAAATGTGGAATGTTGTCAACAAATTCTAGGACCTGAAGCTTGGTAGGAATTCAATGGATAACGAAGCAACAGAATGGGCCGAATTAAGCCTTGACCTTGTCCCAGTGGTATTGTCAAACGAAGTAGACTCACTAACTTGTCTCCCTAGTGCTGATGAGGTTTTCTCTACAAAATCCTTGATGATCGACATGAGAAAAAAGTAGAAGTAATAAATCTCACGCTAGCACAGATAATATGTAATGGACATCACCCTAAAAAGGTGAAGTTCTTCCTTTGGGAATTAGTGCATAAAGTTATTAGCACAGACGAAAATCTTCAAAAAAGAATGCCTCACATTACTTTTTCTCCAAATTGGTGTCCATTATGCAAGAAAGAAAACAAATCACAGAGCCACTTATTTATGCAATGCACATAAGATCAAAATTTTTAGACAATGATTTTCAATATATTTGGATGGCATCTCACATTTCCTTGGGAGGATCTATTGGACATGACCTTAACATACTACCCATTCAAGAATGCAAAAGTCCTACTATAGAAAAACCTCATCATGACTTTCTTTTGGAATCGGTGAAGAGAAAGAAATCAGACTCAGAATTATACAAAATTCTTCGACAATATTGTTTACCAAGCTATATCCTGGTGTAAGCTCTCTAATATTTTTACTTCTTATAGTTACACCTCACTCATTGTAAACGTGGAAGGCCTTTTATAATTATCATGGATATTACATCCCTTTTGTAAATTTCAATCATCAATGAAATTGTTTTTTATAAAAATAAAAAAAAAAAAAAAAATTGTAACAATGAAGTTTTGACTTTACCTGGTGCCAGACCCAATTATGAAAAAAATTTAGGGTTAATGTTGCCCTCTATTCCTTTGATTTTCAATTTTTGAAACCATAGCTGCTGACCTTTCAGAATCAAATCAGCCAGAATAGCGTTATAAACCTGAAGTTTCCAGGACGCAACAAACTCACCACAGCTCAATGGAGATACCCCTTTTTAGCAAGTCGTTATTAGATGTGGCGGCTCCTTTATCCATTCTCCTTTTAGTCCTAGCTTATAGTGTATTTTAACCTTCAATCAATCCCTTCTCAGATTCAACCTTTAGCTCATATATAATTTCACTGCTTCCCACGCTCTCATAATCTTCCTCACCGTTCATTCTTTTCTTTCTCTTTTGTGAAGTTTGAAGATGTAGATTTTTATTCCTTTGTTTCAATTTTTTTTATTTTTTATTTTTTATTTTTTATTTTTATAAATTTCTTTATGCTTTGTTGATGTTCACTTCCTATTGTAGGTTGGGTATTTAACGTTGTTGTGAGTTTGGTCCAAATTAGAAGATGAAGCTTGACGTTAATGTGCTGCGTTATCTCTCGAAAGATGATTTTAGGGTTCTTACTGCGGTTGAGATGGGGATGCGGAATGTATGTATTTCTATTCTCTTCTCTAGAGGGAGGAAATTTCATTCATCTTTTAAGTTTTTTTTTTTTTTTATTGTTCC